GTCCTCACAACTAGTTCAGCCATCTGCAAATCGAATAATTCCTACACCCGTGTTGTCTGTGGAACTTTTCACACAGGCTGCTTGCAGGGTCTAATGTAACATTGCAACATGGAGAACTAAGAATGCCAAACATGGAACCAAGGGGCGGGCTCAGCCTTACTGAAGAAGTCCCGTTGCTAGGTCCACCATTGCAGTGGTCGCGTCACGTTCATGCTTCAAAACACGTCATTAAGACGCGATCTCAAACCCCCTGCGCCCAAAAGACACCCACTCCCGCCCACAGTTTGATACTTTATCTGTGTCGTATTGTTGATGTGCTGTGCCCACTCGGACTTCTTTTTTCCTCTCCGCTCATATTTTCTCTTATATTGCTTTCTGCTACTTCTCCACAGCGAAGAGCAGATAGGTTCATGTTTTTCTTCAATTCTTTTTCTTTTTTCTCCACCTACGATCCACTTCGTATCCTTGCTTTCATATTCGAGTGGGATCACCACATCTATTCCGTCGTGATCCTTGTTTTCAGGCGACCACAATTTGCCGAGCACACTACAAGTGCAAAATACAACGGCAAAGGATCGTTTGAAAAAGTTCACACTTAAGCACACGCCGTCGAGGATACAGGGGTGGCCAAAAAAGACACTTTGCCCATGGCGCACATCATCAAACTTTTCATCGCACAGGTGCCGCTGTTGATGAAAGTTTTACGGCAAATATCCCTTAGATGTCCTCCCATAAGAAGCAGGCCCTCTTCCACTGCCCTCACCGTCCTCAAAATATGACGTCATCTTCCATCACCGTTGAGCTCAAGAAGGCCTACCGTAATCGTTCCAGCCTGAAGCTGCTACGAAATTTCTTCAATCGGTTACTGATGGATTGCTTCCTAGGGACAGTAGCTCTGAATATGCAAGACCCCTTCCAACCAGCGTTCCAGTTAACGTCCTAAATGTCTAGGTTGTGATGTTCATGGTGCAGAAAGCTATGTATTATAACGTTTACTGATTGGTTTTGATGTGCTCTTCAATACCTGTGCTCTTCAGTACTGAGTTGGGAAGAGTCGGTTTAAGTTTGTGTGATTAATGCTGTCTGAAATGTGGAGTGAAATGTCTCTTTTTTTGGCCACCCCTGTATGCTTCAATAGCACAGATAGCCATAGCTGAGAAAAAACCACATGGATGGCCCAAGCATGCTGCAGAGTTTAAACACGCTAGTTCTGTCGATTGCGGTGGCAATAGAACAGTACCACTACACAAGAGGCTGAATTCAGAGAAGTTGTTGGTGAGCCGAGGGCTATGAAGCTTAGAGAGACTGAAGGAGCAACCACATTTTCAAGTCATCAGTTTGCTTTGTGGGTCCTCGTAGCGGTCGAGATTTTCAAAGTAAAGAAATGACTTCAAACAACATACGCTCTTCCATCCACCTTCAAGAGCAAGCGATGGGGCGTCTAATAGGAAAACGATCGACTTCTGCTCTGTAGATGCACTCTGAAAGGCTGCAAACATTATCCAGTTATTAGAGCTAGGTTTGACCAGTCAAGCAGGTCAGTAGTCGTATATACTCATATACATACAGTAGCGCTCAAAAGTCTTTGGCCAAATGCTTTGTCGGACATATTTTTTGTGCTGAATCAAACCAGTTTAAATGTTGATGTTTAGGAGGCAGACCATTTTTCGCAAAACAAGCATGTTAGGGTTAAGGGATGAAGAATTAAGGATGAAAAATCCTTTCACTAAAAATTCTCGAGTATGACCAAATTCCAAGTAAATTTCAAATTATTCTAGAAAGCTTACAATTCAACAAAACAATCGAAAGCGTGATAATAAGCATAAAATATTTCAGCACTTTGTTAATAGACTTTCGGAGTTTCTGAAACCTCAACAGTGAGTGAATCAGTTAATGAATGCACCATCTATTGGGACGACCTCAGTTTTTATTCAGATGTAACAGGTTGCTCGCTCGCATTCCTAGTCCTTTTTATCTGCCAAAACTTTCCCTGCCCTTTTCTATAGCGTCTCGATGATGCTCGGGATGTGCAACTGAAGTTGTCCCTCCGTTTATGGCGCGCCATGCTGTCGAGAGCGCTCTTGCACAGTTGAGGTGCGATGCTTTGGATCGCTCTATTGCTAGAAGACGAAGTCGGTTTGGTGCGAATGCCATACGCCTGAATAGGCAGCGCTTTTAGAATCCAGCTGTACGCGGCCTCCACCACTTCTCGAATCGAAAATGAAGTTTTTTGATGGCGAACTGATAGGGAATGGAATGGGTCTGCGCACACCTAAACTGGAGGTTTTCACAGGGCTGCACGTAACCTGGAGCGACGGAAGGAAATTTAAGGTGTTTTGAGACCACATCACAACGCATGTGAGCGTCCTGCTGGAAGAGGTCTCGATCCAAAGGTCAGCTGCTATACGTGAAACGAGGCGGAGGCTCGTTTATGGTAGTCCGTAAAAGAGGCGGAATTACAGCATAGATTGCGAGAAATGTTGAAGACTTACGGAAACAGGTAGAATCTAGAAGGCGCATCGCATTTAGGAGTATTGCGATCGCACCGAACCGACTTCTTTTTGGGAATAGAGCGATCCAAAGCATCGCACCTCAACTGTGCAAAAGCGCTTGCTCTCGACAGGATGGCGTGCCTTGAATGGTGGGACAACTTCAGTTGCATATCCCGAGCGTCCTCGAGACACTAAAGAAAAAGGGGAATTTGGTAGAGAAAAGAAGTAAGAATAGATAGTGCATTGATTGACTGGTTCCACACTTTGGCACTGTTGAGGTTTCAGCAGATACGAAAGGCTATCAACAAAGGGCTGAATATGCTTGATGTTTGTTATCGTGCTGTAATTTGCTTTGTTGAATTGTAAGCTAATTCGAATTTTCCTTGCAACTCGAAAATTTCCAGAGAAAGGATTTTTCTGATCTTGACTCCTCCCATCAAACGCTAATGTACTTTGTGTGTCCGTTTGTTTGTGTGTACGTATGTTTGTCTGAGTGTATATGTTTGTATGTCTGTCCGTCTGCAAAATGAAGGTCGCTAATAGAGAAAGCAACCGCTGAGAGTTTGGGAAGCTGGGAGGTCTCACGATTTTGATGCTTTGAAATGACTGTTATAAAACCCATAACGGCCATATGAACCGCACTCTCAGCCATTCCACATTGTGTGCCCTGGCAGCTGGAGGGAAGGGCAGAGAAAAGAAATTGTGAGAGAGGAGGGACCAATCGCTTTCAGAGTGAGCTCAAATCAAGTGTTGAGATGTTGTACTCACGTAATAGTAATATTCCTCTTTTGTTTGATAGCTGTAGTCTTAACCGCAATTGCTTCCATCTATTCTTAGAGCGCGTACTACGCAAAAATGCTAAACTAGCGCTCAGGCTAGCCTTACAACTTGGTGATCGAATTCCGCTCTTCTTTAAAGCGGTCTAGAGATTCATTTAAAGGCACGCTCCGCGATTCGGCGTGCTCGCCTGTTCCATCCCTGGGTAGTAGGCAGGCAAGTGTTGATGTCGCGCCCCTTTTGCCGCTTGAAAGTGCGCGACAAAGGCGCAAGGAGCTCGTCCGACCCGCAACTCACACCTTCGTCCGCAAGCCCCACCCTCCGCTGTCGGTTGCCACGTGGCGCTGCTTGAAAAGCGCGGGCGCATTTGAGGCAGCGGTCCCATTGCGATCCAATGTCATTGGCACTGGAGCAACTAGAGTTAGGTTCGTGAAACTCGTCCAACGCGCCCTTCTCTATCCCAAGGTGGAATGTGGCTGAAATAGGGGAGGTCTCTGTACGGGGCGTAATCGGTGGTTTCGTTTGCTTTCCTTCTCTTTACAGACCACCTCCCACCTGGAATAGCTTTGCAACTGAACGCTTTTCCACGCCTATTTTATCCCTAATAAACGATACCGCTGCATTCAGCAAGCAGTAGCTGTTTCTTCCTTCCCACAAGGCACTCATAGTGGCACGCTGTCACCGCTCTTTGCTTGACAACGTTGCATTTTAACCAATTTACGTAGGGATCAGAAGATTATTGTGTGTATTCTGCGGTTTAAGATTGTTTCTTCAGAAAGCTGTTTCTGTCTATTCTGCAAAGAAAGTCCCTAAGAAGGAGGAGAGCCCGGCGATGAATTCAGTAGCTCGCTGGACTTGCGCTATAAATGTTTTGCCATGACGCGATTGTGATAACATCTCCGACGCTATATAAACACAACAGTTTTGCTCCGCTCGCTACCGCGCGCATGTCAACGTGGGCTTCAGTGAGAATGAGTGTAGCCAAGCTGTTGTATTGCTTACCTTGTCCGAGTACAAAGGCTTTCAATTTCGATGGAAAGCAGATGATAAAGCAGTAATTTCTCAGAGTTCTTCAATACCAATAAACATCCATCATTTTTCTGGGACTAACAAAGTCTAGCAGCCGAATGACCTTTGGATAACTAATACAATTACTTGGGCTGCTTATTATCAGCCCTCAGCGTAAACATCTACCATGCTTTGGATACACTGATGGTTTAGCGGTAATAACCTCCAGTGCCTGCGAGGAGATAGAAATATCATTGCTTATCGTATTTCCGCACACACCGAGCATTTAATAAGCACGGGCAGATAAGCAGAAATGACAATGGATCACAACGACATCAAAGGAAATGGGGTATTTCTCATCACACATCTGAATAAGAGCTTCAGTGAAATTTGCTTTCTTCATATACCCCTCTCTCCGCGCCATGAATTTCGCGAAAGTTGCGTTCTAGCGCCTTTTATCAGCCCTTATCAGTTGTTATCACTTTCTTCCCCCACCAAATATGTTCCCGTCCCACCCCCTATATCATATCTTGAAACCAACTCCTGACGACCACTGGTGCCCGAGCTATGAATTTCCGGTCAAACACACACCACACAAACACTTAGCCGATTATATATAGTAGGATACTCAGCACACTTTCGGTGATTCCACAAGGTGCTGTAACGGCAGCTGGAATACAGTGGAGGGATAATGGAGGATAAGGAGGGGAGGAGGCTTACAGGGATGCGAGGTGCTAGCGGTTGCCGAGGGACCAACATGGTATAAAACAAACGAAACCAAAAAACAGATGGAGTGTGTGATAATCTATTCTTACCTACTGTTATATATTATATTAGGTTGTCGGCAAAGTCTTTGCATATGTCAACTTTTTTTTCAAAAATATTTTTCTTCTTCACTACAGCCGACAGCAGTCAAACACGTGCACAAGCATGATCGCCGAGAATTGCTCTTTAGCAGGTAGCTTCTTGCTGCCGGTCGTTGAGAAATCCTCAGCTTCTAAGATGAAAAATTAAACAAAGCCCTCTCCGAGTATGTTCGGATCATCAGGCTCTCCCTCTTTCAGCTGCCGACGGCAACAGAAGCCTAGTCTGTCTGTGCCAGATTTGCTGAACACACCATGTGGATCAGATCGTCTCATAGCAAGCTGGGAAGCGTTTCCTGAGCGTTCTTCGTACTTCGCCACGAGTTCTGCTGGATAACTAAACTTTGATTTTTCCAGCCCTATTCCGGGCAAGCTATTCACTTGCCAACATTATTGTTCTTTAGCAGCAGTGGACTTCGTTGGCAGCAGCTCTCCGTGAGCGAAACATTTGCAGCCTCATGAGCTTTCAAAGTTGCCTCCCAAGTTGCAGTTCTGAAATCGGCATTGCAATCCTTTGTTCAACTCGCGGCCACTCGTGCTTTCTCGCATGGTTTATATAAAGATCCCACTCCTTGTTACCACCAATAAAATTGTCTGGTCAATTGAGCCAGGCGTAAAAATCAAAATGTTTATGCAGAAGTTCTCCCTTTTTGAAGGTGGTGGTTAGTCAGATCACGAAATCTCCTTTCGCCATGATCTCGCTTTTTTGGGACGATTATGATTAGCGGCCATTATAGTCTGATAGCGCTAAAAAGCTCTGCCAGTTCACGTGCTCCGGGATTTCTTTCCACTTGACTTCAGAATACATTCTTCATTTAGTGTAACAGAAAAGATTGTTTGTTGGTGTTTTCTCAGTATCTAGAAATCGGCAAGCGAATGATTGTCATATTGTGACCATCAGATGTGAGGGAGAAACCCATTTAATCCCTACTATATATAAAACGGTGTGTGTGTGTGTGTGTGTGTGTGTGTGTGTGTGTGTGTGTGTGTGTGTGTGTGTGTGTGTCACGAAATTCATAGCACGCGTCGCAGCAGTCGTTAGGAGCTGATTTTTTGATATGATATATAGGGGGTGGGACGGGAACATATTTGGTGGGGGTCACCAAGTGATAACGACTGATAAGAGCAGATAAGAGGCGCTGAAACACAAATTTCACGAAATTCATAGTGCGCTTAGCAGCAGTCGTCAGGAGCTGATTTTGGGGCATGATATAGGGGGTGGGACGTCCGCACAATCTATTTGGTGGGGGTCACAAGTGATAACGACTGATAAGAGCAGATAAGAGGCGCTGAAACACAAATTTCACGAAATTCATAGTGCGCTTCGCAGCAGTCGTCAGGAGCTGATTTTGGGACATGATATAGGGGGTGGGACGGGAACATATTTGGTGGGGGTCAAAAAGTGATAACGACTGATGAGGACTGATAGTAACGATATGCGTACGAGCGTAGAGATCACTTGAAACCAGATTGTAGATAATGCATTTTATCTCTATGTCATTTCATTAGCGTTGTAATTGTAAACTCAAACACCTTTCGACCGCTACACCTTCTAGAGTTCTTGAGGATGAATGGGATGCTCGAATAAATATGATAATGAATACTGGGCATTCCGTTTTGAGATATTTCGACCGCTAAATTACCTCGATACTCGACGCATGTGGTTGTTTACATACATCACTTTAGCTGTGCACTTCACTGCGCTTATCAAACAGTGAGATACAGCCAAAGATGGGCAATGCAACGGACAGTAATGCATTTAACGAAGCAGCTATAGTTTAGCGGTGAAACCTGAAGCCTCACGATTGTCAGTTCTATCAAAGGCTTCCGCGTCATGCGCGCGGTAGCGGGCGGAGCTAAACTGGTAATTTAATATGGGGGAAGAGTCGTATAGACTAAATTCTCTGTAGACATGGTTCACCCAATTCTTAAATTATGAGATTGAATTGATCACATACACACGGATGTGTCCTTCTTGTTGAAGTGTCTGAGAGAGCATTTATTCATTCTGGCCTTTGTGCAGTCTTTACTAACGCCTATAAGACAGCGGGCCGTTACTACTTTCACATCATGATTTATGACTGAAGAACAACATTCACGAATGCGCCGTTCTCGAATTTATCAAGGATTGTTCATCATTGCAACATGGAAAGCTCTAAAGTGCGAAGTACATAAGAGTTCAACGGCAGATGATACGATAAATTAGTCGTCGTCGGAAATGAAAGTCGAGGTGGTAGGCGATGCAACGATAAAAAAAGCAAGGGAACAGCCTGAAGTAGTGAGATCTCCTTTGTTGACTCCAATTTTTGACGAGATTAATAACGCCGTCGATATAAGCACCTTCGTCTTCCTCTACAGTCTCCCACACCACAACTGGCAACCGGGTGTATGTCAAATAAATCGTGGCGTGATCTAGTCGCCGGTGAACGCCATGTCGCCGCATTTCGCTGTTTAAATTTCGGGGAATATATGAGGAGATGGACTTGCTGGTCATGAGACATGCAATTTAGATGACCTTTCTGTTAGAAACATGTTTTCCGTATCCCTTATGCAGATTTACAAATTTATCCCATTATGCTAAGCTGATTTGTGCTCCGTACATCCTGGCCCATGCTCTACTCGTTTCAAAAATGACCCGGCCTTTCCCGACTATTGTTTAGGTCATACTGTAGTGCATTATATGCAGTAGAAATGGAAAAAAAGTCACGTATTCATGAAGTAACCCCAATTTGCGACAACCCTCACTTAACAAATCAAAGAGAAAGAGAGCCCTTGTCGATGTTCTATTTCCCCTGCAAAACTCCGAATTGAATGTGTTGAAAACTAAGCCTGATCTTACAGCATCTGGTCTTGACGTGATATGATCCATTCCTAGTGGTGGAGTTACCGTATCGCGGTAATTATCTCTCCGTGTTTCTGGTTCTCTCGAAACCGGTGACCCTCTCGTCCTGTGGAGGTTCACCGCTTTCGGGTTCTGCAGTCTCTTCGTGAGAAGCTGTAGTGTGCTCAAATTCCACTGGTTTTGTGAGCGCATCAAGCAAACGATCTCGCATTTTCTTGGCCTCGTCGGAATTCGGTTCTTGCCTGAATAACGGCTGTTGAGTTTAGCGTTCTCACTGTGTAACCAGCACGCAAACTTACCGTAACGTCCATCCCGTGCTTAGTATCTAGTACATTGCTGGGATCCTCCGCAATATCTTCCACATTTGTTTTATTCGCGGGTTTTCCAGTGGGCACCATAACAATATTCGTGCCATTTTGGCGCATCTACAATATGTACTTCTTCTAGCCAGCAGGGTTGCAAAAAGAGAATTGCAGAAACATGAGAGTTTATGTTACAGCCCGAGCGTTACAAAAAAAGACCAGAAATCATGGAAAGATGGTGCCTAATCTACCTTGTCGGCAACGCTGCGTTCATCCTTATCTCCAGTTCCAGGTATGTCACATGTTGAACTTTGACCATCTGAGAACACGGCTACACTTTTATCTTTGGTAGTCTCTGCCTAAATGCAATGCACCATTAAAAATGAATTTGAATTTGAAATATTATTGAAGGAAATGGTCTGCTTGCTGTAAAATGACTTGTAATGAACCGCTATATGCATCTACATTATGTGCCTATATCAAGAGTTATTTTTATCTGACAAATAAACACTGTACTAACGTCTAGAAGCTTTTTAGCGAGTCTGTATGCTTGAGATGTAGCGATCTTGTTTCCATCAGACTTGAACGCCAGCGACTGGCTTCTGGAAAATATCATGTTAATTAATCGTTTGTTTAGGCCAAAGGCTTTTCTCATTTTGGTGAATATGTTTGAAATGTATGATGTCATTCGAAAGCCTACAATTTCCTTCAAACCCTAGAATGTAATTGGAATGTAGGGTACTAAGTAAGCTCAAAATCAAAAACGAAAATTTTTTTGCGGGACCATTAAAGCATTGCTTAAAATGACTCAGGAATACTTCATTGACTTTTCAATCCGGCTTCAGATGTTTTACTCAGAGAAAAGTGCTGGTCGCGAGAATCCAAGTGACTAGTCCTGGAGAAGCTGTCTTTTGTTCATTTGTGTACTTTATATTGAAACAAACATTGAGCATCACATGTCAAAATGAGCAGAAAATCGTAAGCTTCCAATGACTTCGGATCGGCCAAATATTAGAGAGATTTAGAAAAGCCGTCAGCCGAAATAAATCGCTGACCGGATCAACCTGATAGCTTATTTGATTATTATGTAGCAACTTTGAATACTAACTGATTATTACAACAATGAATCTCAACGAAATAGATGTTACCTAAGATAATCAGAAGTGTAGATGCCCATAGGAACGATGACTTTCGATGGGCAGCTCATTGCTATAACTGCCACTCTCGTTTGCTTCATTCGTCCTACAGTCCTTACCACTAAGTCAACCATCTGTAAGTCAAGTAATAGCCACAAGAAACTCTCTTGTCTTTATTTAGTTTTCATTTTATACAGACTGCTTGTTTTTGTCGTAGCCTAATGTTGTAATGTAGGAAAATAAGACTGCATGTCAAGTCAACATTTCTAAGTAAAATGACCGTACATGATTCAGGTCAGCAAAAGTTTTTTTGACTAAATGCTTTGGAATTCATGCAGAGCGTATGCGTTTCAAGTACAGATCACAATCGTTAAAGTGGACCAAATGAACGGCCTGATAAAGCATATCTTTTCCATAATCACAGAATGACTATACTTTATGCTTCTAAGAAATCCTGAAGACAAAAGCGGAAAGCTGTTGTTGTTTTTTTGAATGTGTGCACGTTTGACATAACTCCGCTTCGGAAAAGGCTCATTCTGGGAAGCGTTGAGAAGAACGAATTCGTTTTCATTTCTACAGTTCTGCCTTATGAATCTTCCCGATGATTGCAACGGAGTCTCAAATGGTGGTGCTTTTCATGCGAAATACGGATGATTGACTGACTAAATGAGACGGGTCCCATTCAGGCCAACCAAACCTTCTCAAATTCCAGGTCGGGTCAGCAAATCGGTAGTGCTAGACTTGGAAGTATAAAAAGGCTAAGATATACATTGGCTGGCCTGTCAACATATTGTATAGGCCAAGCAACATTTGAGTGACGCCATTACAATTCAAAACAGGAGTGAAAAGGTATTGATCATGCTCGATCCTTTTTATGCTTATCCTAGTCAGTGAGTTAGTAGAAATTGAGAAAATTAGTCAAAACACCATACATTCTTCCACCCATCTTTAATAGCAAGCATTCGAGCGTCCAGTAAAAAGACGATTGACTTTCTCGCTTCGGATGAGATCTAAAAACCAAAAACGTTTACTATTTTCAAACATTTGGAAGTCTGACAAGGGTAAAACACAACCAGTGACTCCAGGATAGGAGGAAATATTTCTGGATGGAGAGGTCATAGTTGAGACGAGTAAGGGCACGTGTAAATAAGCAATAACAACAGAAATAGCTTCGTAAAAAACAAATCCGCTGTTTCAACAGTTATATGTATCCTATCCTTCTCCAGGTTCCCACATAAACTCAAGTGTGGAAGAGTTTTAGGGTGGAGTTGGAGTCTATCACGCAGTTCCAAGTTCAAAGATACCGATAACGGACGGCGTGCGCCACATGGTGGCGCACGATTATTTCTTTTGTTTTTGGAATGTTTCTAGCAATCTTAATATACCCATATATACTCTCAGCAATGTGGAATAACATATCTTCCCAGGACCTGGACGAGCTGGATTTTTGACCTACAATAAATTTTACATACATTTTGTCTTAATTACTATTTGATGGATGGCTTACCCATGGTTCACACGTCCCGAGACCCCTTCCCCTAAATATAGCCACATCCTTGCTCGGGGTTGTTGTTTCGCATTTTTCGATAATGTCACCTACAGCTTCCATTCATTCTTTGCACCCTAGTTTTAGAGCGGAAAGGCGGGTTACGAACTTGTCGTCAACGGAAATCTCTTCTTTTGGATGATGAGACAAGGACACCTACTTTAGCCCCGTCTTAACCCTGCTGTTCGCATAAGCCTACATAAACCCTACCCTGGGTGGCGGCGTGCGCCACATGGTGGCGCACGCAACAAATACACTGGCCGTCCGTTATGGGTTAAAGGAAGCGATCGCGATGGCTTCCACGTGGATCTGCTACCCTCACGTTATCAACCGATAAGGTGTGAGGCAGTAATTGTTGGACGAGTGTAAGCCCATGGAAGATATGATACGATGAGATAAGAAGGTGCGGCTGCTTGATAAGAGGTGCACTCCAGAATGAAAACGGGACGATAACGATAATGGTATCATATCAAGTATGCTGCCATGGAACCCCTTCCACATTGATACGGCTTTGTTTTTGCTACCCGGAAGTAGATTTCGGCGCCCTATCACACCGTTGATAAGGCCCCCTGCCACTGAAACACTACCTGTTCTATCATTGGGCAGCACCCCTATCTATTCCATTACGTAACATTCCGTATCGTCCCCATGGGAATTATCGTGACCACTTCCTTTAAGAGGACGGAATAACATTATTATTGTAAATCCTCTGGCCTGGCATCT